AGCAGAGAAGTGAAGAACAGGAAGGAGGAGGAGACTCAGGCTGGGTCATTCATAATAACCCCTGCCCACCCTGCCCTGCAGTCATTGGACCAAGGGGTAGGCACATGACCCAAGCCAGCCAATCAGTCTTTCCTAGAGTTTCTCAAATTTAGAACTGAGAGGCAGAAACCTCCCTTCTCCCTGCTGAAGGAGTTAGTGGGAGTGAGCCCAGAATGGTCAGTGGCCGCTCTGGAAGGACCATGTGTACAGTAGCACCATTTCCACCCCTGTTCGTCTGGGGGTTTGGGCATGGGAGCCTTTATATGTTCTTTTTATGCTCAAATTAGCTTGAGCTGATTATAGTCACTTGCAAATCAGAGTCCTGACGAATCTAGTGCAGATGGAAGCTGCTGGTTACTGCTCAGGACGTTTTAATCCTGAGAAGAAAGGGGAAGAGCTCAGGCAGGGTTGAATGATAACCCACAGCAGCCTCGTGCGCCTCGTGCGCCTGTGATGGTGACTTATTTTTCGCGTTGAGGGATCCCTGTGGGATTTGGGGCGGTTTTCCTTCCAAGGGGCGAGCTGGGACTTGCCTTTCCCAGGTGACCTGTGCTGTTGTGCCGACCGGACACGGCCACGGGGCCTGGGGTGTGTGTGTGTGTGTGTGTGTGTGTGTGTGTGTGTGTGTGTGTGTCTTCATTGTGACCAAGCTTCTTGCTTCAGGAGCCCCCGTTCACTTGTGGGCTGTTGCATTTGCCTCACAAGCCAGAAGCCAGATTCACGCTGGGCTCTGCACGGGAGCTGGCTGTGATCCTGCAGCCACGGGCTTTGGCGTCACGGGTCCACGGAAGAGGAGTCCTGGCCGCGCTTATAAAACAGGCCAGTTAGTGTCGCGTGCCCGTGTGTGGCGGCGGGTGGCCCTACGATGGCCCCGGGACATCCTCAGTGCCTATGGGAAGACGGTTGGGTCATTCTTGGCATCTCCGCACAGCTCAGGGAATGGAATAACTATGCATCTGGCCTTGTCTGTCATTAAAACAAACAACAAACAAAATGATGAGGAGATCACCACCACGTCTTTAGTTAGAAGGAAATACAAGGTAATTGCTCACCCAGACCCTTTGCTCTAGTCAGCGGTCGCCAACCTTTCGGACCTCACGGACCACCATGGTCCGCGGACCGCCGGTTGGGGACCACTGCAGATGGCAAGAAGTCTGAGCTTCTGGAGCTCGTGCCTGCCGTTCGAACAGAAGAGCAATAGCCAGGTTGATGGTTCCTGAAATATACTTGACCCTGGGAGGCAGAGTGTCAAGCTTTAAGAAGGGAAATGGGAAAGCAGATTTGCAGGGACTCGTGACATTCAGGTCAAGGTGAGTGGCTGCAGATGTCTCAGAACTTGGGCTGAGGCTCGAAAGTAATGAAGAAAGTCCCCCACACTAGGCATGATGAAGGCATGACGAGGCATGAAGAAGGCATGAAGAGGCATGAAGAAGGCATGGAGGGGCCGGCATGTGAAACCTGCCTCGGGGGAGGAGGGCTAACCATGCTTCAACACCTGCTTCTGTCGTGGGTTTCCCTGGGGGGAGCAGGGCTTGACTCTGATCAGTTCCAGAGGAGACACTGCGTCAGGCAAGTCTGGGGGCCGTGGCTGACCACAGCCCTGACTGAGGCGCAAGGGCCACGGGAGCCCACTCTGCTGCCTGTCGCGTGAGGAGTAGATGCAGCCTGGCCATGGGAGCCCGTTGTGGGAGGGGACGGGCTCATCCCCGTGTTGTGCTGAGCCAATCAGAGACTTTTCTAAGAATCGAAGATTCACAGAAACATTCTGGCTGCTGGGGGCCCTACACCTGAGCTGGGACGGTGGTCCTCTGCGCTGAGCACCCGGATGAAGGGCTGAGAGGAGACAGGGGAGGAGTCAGTGTGTAGACTTGCCGCGTGTGCTCCGGTTCCTGGTTCCGGTTTCCGTGAGGCCTGGACACAGCCGTCTCCTGTCCTTGGATCCCCGGAGACCTCTGTCCAGGCAGGAGCACCCTCTTTTCCCGTGAGCCGTGTTGAGGGAGCTTCTCTTTCTTGCAGCCAAAAGACCACGGACTAGAACAGTTGCTCAGGACGCGATTGATGCGACAGCTACAATGCAGATTTCAGCCGGGCGAGCCACTCAGCCGGCCGGGGTGGTCCTGCCGATGGGTGTGTGTGTTTGAGGGGGGGCATTCAATCATTAGAGATGAAAGGACCCCCATGACCCTGTCCTCTTTCCTGTCCCCACCCACCCCCTTGGCTGCTCGCCATCTGCTGGCCCCAGCTGCTTGGCTATTTCTAGACCAAGTCAGGAAACTGTTTTGTCTCTAGGACTGAGCCCAGAAAAAACTCTTCAACCCCAACCACTGCTCTCTCACATTCTGGGCAAAGCTCTTCGCGGCTCCAGGGCCTTCCCACGTCCAGGCACACTCAGATCAGGGTCACAGGTGTGGTGTGTGTTTGGGGATGGGAAGATGGGGACACAGGGGACAGAAGGGGCAGGGCAGGAGGCCCGGCAGCCTCACCTGGTCACGGTGGTGGAAGCGGAGGTGTGGACACCAGGCTCAGGTGTCTACACTTCACGTAACCCTCAGCACCGGGCAGCAGAGTGGGCTGCTGTGGCCCTTGCCCACCAGTCAGGGCTGTGCAGCGAAGACGCCCTGAGCAGGGCTCTGTGGCTCCGTGCCATTGGGAAAGGGCAGCCCCTGGGGCGGGAGGTGGAACGGAGGCAGGACTCGGGCCGCCCCTGCCTGTCCCGGGGCAGCCAGGCCTCCAGCTCCCCGTCCAGCTGAGTTGGCACTGGCGGCGGGCGGCAGTGGTGGGGATGGCGGTGGCGAGGTTCTGCAGGGTG